GCAAATACACTTGGGCTGAAATAGCTAACTGAGCAATAAACTCCTGCCAGGGCTCCCCAGGAGTTCAAAACCAACCACAGCTGCCTCCTTACTCTATTTCACATGTGTATTTCTGTTCAGCTTGTCCCCTCTAGTTCCATCAGTTCAATCATCCTCTGTCCCCTCAGCCAGCACAATATTTCTGTGCCAGTACTTGGCACATGGAAGCCATCCACCACAGTGTTCTCAGAGGCAGGGTAGCAGTACCCCTAGGTGCTGTCAGGGTAGCTCAGGATCTTCCACAGGATGTGTGCCTGTGCTGCGAGAACAACCTTGCAAAAGCTTGTGTTTGCAGAAAACTCCTCTCTCCTCTGTTCTTATTAATATTTCCTCTACAAATCTCTCTATTTGTGTTCCCTAAAGGTAATTTAAATGCTGATTGCTGTGTGAAATGCAGCAGAACTATAACGAACATACTCTCCTGTCAGCACTTGACTGAGGAGGGAGAAGACCCTCTAGCTATGTTTATCACAGTAGCTGCAATACTGGAGTTTAATGAGATGTTTTTGCAATGAGAAGATTTTCAGAAAAACATTCTCATGCCAGGAGGGCTTACCAGGATATTTTTTTTGTAATTAAATGTTATTATGTTCATACTCATAGTCAATTTTTCATTGATAGATATAGACAAATAGAAACCAACAATTAGCTACACAAGCATTTTTTTATTGCCTTACTGGACTTTTTTTCTATCTCCTACCTCAGTGGTTAAAAAGCTATGAAATTCTAGCTAATCCAGCAATGTGCGGTTAGTGTTCTGTCAGAAGCAGAGCATGAAATATTTTTTGATTTCACTTTGTCTTCTGTAGGAAAGGAAAAGTAATTTTGATAGTAGAAAAAAAAAAAAAAAAAAAAAAAGACCACAAAATAACATTACGACAAACGGTTTCTAAGTCTGATTTCAATGAACTTGTTTTACAAATACCAGTGGCAAATACAAGCTGTGTTCTTTATCTGAAGCTCCTCAGCTTTGTTTTTCTAACGAAAATTCCAAACTCTCTACATGAAATTTTCTCCAACAATTATACTAGCCTCTTGCTGAGTTTCTCTTGTGTAAAAGCCAGCTTCTGACCTGCTCTTTTCCTCCAGGGCCTGACTGAAACCCTACAGAAGAGGCTTTTATTTGCTCTTGCCATTGGGAAAGAGAGCGGGGTACTTAGCTGGATGAGATGAGCGTTTGCTGGATGTCTCCACTGCAGATTCCATGGGTGATGTCAGTGGCGAAGTCTTTCTTTCAAAATACGTCACCTCTTGCCCTGCATAGCTGCTGCAAGTGCATTAACATTGTCCAGTGGGACACAAGAGGCAGATTTTGATCTTGGAAACAACCATTAGGTTTTCCCTAGCATGACCTTGCCATTTACATCATAATGGAGACTTAGGGGAAAAGTGATAAGCCACTTCTGGTGGGCATTATTCTGCAGGTAGCCAGCTTTCATAGGCTCAAATCCTGTCTGACCTCAGAGAACAGCACCTTATTTCTGGCTTTGTATAAAGATACCCTTGGAGTAGTTCAGCTTATTCTTTCAGCTTGGTTGGATGACTGTGCTAATTAACGTTAAAACGAGCTAAGCTAACACGAGTGTGTGGGAGACAAATCCCCTCTTTGCAGCAATTTGGGTATGTACAAATGAGTTCTCAGCTCTTCTCATATGATTTAAAATACCACTTGAAAAACAAAAACTTTAAAAAAAAAATCAAGAAATGATTTGAGTATTAGATTCCTGTTAGCTAATTAGGCCAAGAGTCAAACTGGAAAAATGCCATGTGTTCAGATTTGTAGTATAATAGAGCAGCACTGTGTGCTGTAAGCAATGTTATGATCTGTGAGAAGAAAATGGAGAAGCGTTAAACGGTAGTCTTCCCTGTCTGGCCCCAAAAATGAGAACTTGGAGGGAAAAGTTATCTACCAAGAATTTAACATAAGGCAGAAATACCTGTCTAATTGAACTTATATTCTCTGTAATTGCCTGGTTATAAACATGACAAGAAAGTTTTTCATTTTTTATAAATAGGAGTTTTTAATGAGTAAAATCCTGAACATAAAACGGTCACTGAGAACTGAAAGAAAGTGAGAATTCAGGAGTTCCATTCCCCTTTGTGAATCAAGTCTGCTTCAGATCATTTCCTCACCCTTCTCAAGGGGACTTCAGGTTCAAAGAATTTAGTAAAGAAATTCAGTTTTTCTAATTGTCACTGGATTTGACGGGGGTCTAAAGTTGGGAATTATGTTTTGTTTGATTTCAGTTTGGTGGATACATTGCAGCAGCTGACCCATTATGTTCCTTCTTACCTTGTATCATCCATTCCCATCATAAATTTTGTTGTTTCAGAGATATATCCTTATGCCAGAACTGACCCTTTGTAGTGAGAACATCAATTTGGACACGAGATGACTCTCTTATGGACACTCTCTAATTAAGAACACACTTTCACAACATTATTTGAACAGCTTTCAAGGCAAAAAGTGTTACAATGGAAAAACGCTGTTTGTATCCAAGGAAGACTAATCACTCAAGTATAAATGCAGTCCTCCAGATAGGTCAGTATGGCTCAAGGTATTTCCTTGGGCAAAGATCTTTTAATCAAGCTCCAGTGCACACTGCACTACTGCTCTGCTCTCGGTTCTCACTAAATACCTCCTCTAACTTCTGCTACAACCCACTACCTGTCTTTCATCACTACCACAGCTACACAAAAAAGCAGCATTGCTTTTCTTTTTTTTCCTGTCTCCCTGTCTTTTCATCTTTCCACTTTCCTCTACAGAGAGAATTTTTATTTTCTTTTCCCTGTGTTGGTCTGTGGCAAGCAGTGATCTCAGCTTCACCTCTCTTTGAAGATCTATATACTTTGTTGAGTTTTTCTATCAAAATACCTTTCAAAAATAAGCATGCAATGTTCTTTCTGTGCTCAAACACCTACCAAAATGTACTGTTGACCAAAAGATATCTCCAGCTGTCTCTGCCTTTCTTTTGATCTCAAAATACATACGAAACACCTCACACCTGCTGCTTCAGATTTGTTTCCTTTGGTCATTCCAGCTTTTCTCTGGATTTGAAAAACTGTTGGTGTATTTTTGTAAGTCATTCTTGAATTTCTGCATTGTGTGTTGCTATTTATTGGCACTCTTTGCCCTGTGGATATCAACAATTTCTGTAACTTGACAGGACAGGTTTTGACCACAAAACTGACTTTAAGGGCTGCTGGATGAAAGGAAAGGCTGGAAACTTTCTGGTTCTCACAAATTCAGAATTGCCTCACTAAGACGAATAGTGCAAGCCCAAAGGGTTAGAGAAATGCAAATCCTTGGGAAGAAGACCTGAAACCCAACAAAGCTGCTGTCTACAGCAAGACTGACTCCTTATGCGAGTCTCAAGCTGGGTTTTCCAAAAAGTCTTTGAATCTGGACAAGCCTAGTGTTTCAAGAAGGAATGAGACATAATTTACTCGTAATTGTTCTCTGCTTAAAGTTTTCAATTTATTTAATTTTCAGCCTCTAAACCAAATCTGGGAACTTGAGGTAAAAAATCCGGTGTTGAGTATTTGAAGTCTATGTCTCTCTGTCATGCTTTTAATAAGAAATATTGCAAGAACTTAAATAATCACCCATTTAGCCAGGATATCTTCATATAATCCAAAGTGCTTTAAAAGGCTACAAGGTTCTGCTATACTTATTTACAGGTAGGGAATTCAAGGAAGAGATTAGTCAGCTTCAAGGTCATGCAAATGTCAATGGCAGGAACTGGCCTCCTGATTGTCTTGTCTAATTCCGTAGCTGTGGGACCACACTGAAGTAATCAGTGCTGTTTTGAACCACATTTTTCAACCTTGAGCATAAATCACATGAAGGTCTCTTGTATAAAGCTTATGTGAAATCCATACTTCAAGAAAGCTCAGTAAGTCAATTAATGTTTGCAAGATACATGTGCTTGAGGGTAAGGAATACAATAGGAAATGCAGTTAGTCTGCCTGGACTGGTTCTTCCTCTGACAAAAAATTGCATTACAGGCAGCTGATACCTAGATACAAAGTTGGATGAAGCAATGGTACACAGACCTGATTCATCCTCCAAATCTGTCACATATCGGTAGAAATGGCACAATTATATCTGCAAGTAGTGGCGCAGTTAGATTGCTGTCTATGTTTTTAATGGCTCTTTATTTTAGAGCTTGTAACTACAGTGCATCAAAGATCCTGAATGATCTTTTTTGAATGTTTGGAAAGTTTTCATCGGAAGAGACTCTGATCATTAACCACATCAAGACAACACTAGAAAAATAATTTTGTCTCGTGCACCAACTGTTTTAGAGCAATGGTTAGGAAAATTTGCAGCTTCTCTGCTTCATGTTATTTGACTTAATTGTTCGGATAAGTTTCCAGAATGCTTTTCATTAGGAATCTCTATTATTGTCTGTTTCTGTCACGCCTATGCTCCAAAACAAATAAAGGCAAAAAAGTGATACCAGGAAATATTTCACAGCCTTTTCTAAGACTATAATAGTGGTGTCCTTAAACTTTTCAGATGAAAGATCAGACTTCATTGCACTTCAGTTTGCTGATTTTGAATGTTACTGTTACTCTTGAGTGTCATTACTAGTGTATTAACAGCTGAGTGAAGGGGAAGGTCTTGTTGCTGCTTACTGGAGCCCAGCAGATCCCTTAGCGAGGCTGTTGCATGCCATTCTGCAGCCATAGTGCAAAGCTTGGGCACCACAAATCGCTTGGGCACAGAGCCCTGCTGCCAGCCCAGCCAGACAAAAAATGGGAGCGAAGGGCTCCAGACACAGTACTAAGTACTGTGGGGCCTCAGATTTTCTGAGTAATGCAAAGGAGAAGCTGCAGATCAACAGAGTGATTTCTTATTTACAGGAATGTTCTAGGGTGCAGGGCAAGCTGCAAGACTTTGCACTGGGAAATGCTTTTGTACTAACTTTTCTATTTTGTATCTTTTCCTTCTCTAGAAAAAGATGAGAAAAGAACAAACATCTCACAGGCAGAAGTAAGTGAAATATTTTTTTCTTAAAATTCATTTACTGTTAGGATAGAACTACTGTTAAAACCCCTCCAAAATGTCCTGGTCCATCGCAGTAGTTGCCTACACTTACGTGCTTGCGTGCCTCCAGCAGCACGGCCAACCCAAACCCAACTACTCTGTGCACCAGCTCTGCCCCCTCACCCTCCTGCTTCAAGCAGAGGGCTGCAGGCAGCTGTGGGGCTGCAAAGCCAATGCAACATCCCCTTTTGCTGTCCTTCTCCTAAACCACAGTAAGCATGGAGAACTGGGCTCCCCCCCTCACATTCTCCCTTGCACAGCTCCTGCAGTTCCCTCTCGCTTTCTCCTCCACCGATTGCCCAGAGAAGTCATCAGAGCTCTAAAATAGCTGCAGGAGGTATTGATTGTTTCGGATTTGGATTCAAACACAGACCTACAGTGATTCACTAGGGTGAGGATCAACAACCTATCACAGAGTGATTATAAATAGCTTTCTCTTTCAAAAGAAGACAATCTTTTATTTATAAATGTTATCACTCCATCCATTGTGATAAGGCAATAGGATTGGTGGCATTTGTGTGGCAGTGTTTTTCTTAAGAGTTGTCTCCAATAATCTTTGAAGAGATTAAAATTCACTGGTGATACACCAGAGGAAAAATAGGAGGCAGCATCATTATGAGCAAGTAAAACTAAAATTGATGAGAGCAAATAAAGCTTGCTCAGGCACAGCTTTTTTTACATTTTTCTTGGGAATGTGGTATGTCTTCAAAACTTAGCCATGTGTGAGATATTATGTGATTTTATTATCCTCTGTATATGGAGATATTCCATGTTGGTACATATGCCAATTGAACTTTTGCAGAAATTGCACAGCCTTAGCACTGGAATATGTTTCAGTTAGGTCTTGTTAGATATGCATTGATGTAGTCATTCCATGTGTAATTTTAATGCTGTCATTTTGGAATAATTCATCTTTTGTGCATAGGTGTGACTTTGGGGTCAGAAAGTTATATTATCTCTAAAGATATTCCTTAAAACAGGCCTAGCTGAAGGCTGATTGGTTGGTGGAATTCTTTGAGGAGTATTACAATACATTGAAAAATTGCAGGGGGAGGGTTTTTTCATTTGTTAGAATGTGTGTAGTAATAATTTCATTATTACCTTACATATGGAGTCATTCTTTATACTGTGATTAGTTGGAATATTCATTTAAGTAAATTTTGCATTATTTTAATATATGTAAGTATTTGCCTTCTGAGAGTCAGTTTCATAGACTGTTAAAAACACAGGCTGCCCTAACTTTATGCTTAACAGCATCTTTTTTAGTTAAGGATAATTTTCAGTGGTAGTAAGCCTGTTTTGCCTGGGAGCTATAAAAGTTGTTCATGAAGCATATTTTGTCTATTTAAATTTTCCCTGTGTTCACAAAAGCCCAGGAGCTGGCATCAGATTCACATGATATCATTTCCACAGATGCTTCTCATTGCTCCTGAACTGGGAGCAATGCAGAGCACTGCAGTCTATCTCAAACCTGCCTATCATTGCTGCTGTATGTATGGCTCTCAATCCAGTCCTACTAAGGCCATAAGGAAGTACCACTTAGTCTGAAAAGCACCCAGGGTAATTCTGACTGTGAAACAAGTTTTTTGCATTGGAGCAAGCAACCTCAGGGAGTTTTCAGGTAAAGAGAGGGAAGAGCTGGGCAGCACGACCCTGAGCTGCCAAGCACAGAAAGCTCTCTACCCGTGTCTTACCATCTGTCTCTTTTTTCAATCCCTAGTGCCAGAGCTCATCGCCAAAGCAGCGGAAGCAGAGCGTGTACACCCCACCTGCCCTCAAAGGTACTGTCCAGGTACTGTCCCTGCCCTGGGAGCACCCTGGTCCAATGCAGCTCTGTCCCCCTGTGCATAGGGGACAGACACCCAGCACAAGCCATAGTTCTGTGTTCCCCCAAGCAGAGCGTGGCGGCTGTGAGAAGTTGGTGCTTATGTGTCTCTGGTCTCTCACACGGGAGTGGTTGTCTTCCTGATACGGGGCTGTGATTAGCCCTCATGGCAGCATAATAACAGTGGGAAATCTGTTTAAAGGCCTTGTTTCTCCAGTGACTTGCTCACGCTTGCCAGTAGGCAAGATCTGTGGGGAATCACCAGCTGCTTACACCATCACTTGTCTGTACAGGGCAAAGCCAAGTGTCTCCTGGTAGATTATGAATATCTTCAATTTCCATTCTTTCTGCTCAGCATAACCTGACAAAATACAGGAAGTAAAATATTTGTAGAGTGGATCACAACTGCAATTGTTAGGTAGTTTACCATAACAGCCAGCTCTACTAATATCTAATATCTCATTCAATAGCTTCAGTTCTCCAGCACTTAGCAACACTGAACACATCACCTAGGTGCTGCTATCTGTTGAAACTGGCTAAAGTTTGTTTACTGGATATTAGAAATAATCTTCTTGTAGTAAGTTTTAATAATTTATGAAAGAAAATTTTGCGTGGGTAGCAATAGCTCTTATTGATGTCACTGCTGCGTTATTCCCCTGCGTAAGTCTAAATTGAACACTGTGCAAATGAAGAGATCTGAAACAGGTCCTCATAGTCCTAAGACTACATCCTACCCAGCATTACCCCTGCTGAGGTCTGGGGAAGTTCTGGCAAAGTTTGCTACTACGTAAACTTAATTCCCAAGGAAGAGACTTTCTAGAAGAAAAGAGCTCACAGATGATCAGAAATAGCTTGTAAACAGAAGAATGCAAAGTGTAAAATGCTTATCCTGTACACCTTAACTCCCTAACCAGTGCGATATTCCCAGATGCACAGGTAGGCACCTGGAAGTTGATAAGTGCATTGTAAACAGGATGGATTGCCCTTAATTTAACATACTGTAAATGTCATAAATACAAACCTTTTTGTTAAAAAAAGTATACTGAAACAGAAAATTCATTATTCCTTCCTCTTCATTGCTATGAAAACATTCATGTTATTTTGTTTAGACTGAGATTAGGAGGCAAATGTAGCAATCCAAAATACACAATGCTATGAAAAGCATTACTGTGAAACAGAATTTTTAAAAGTTCTTTAACAATTTAAATAATTCTATTTTTATAGATTATTTGGTTTTTCTCCCCAGTGCTTTCAGAATAGCAGGCTTCCTGATTTCTCAGTATTCCCTCAGCTTTGCATGTGTTTTCCCTCTGGGCTGTTTCTCCCTCTGTACTGACAGTGTATGCGTCAATCTACAGTAAAGCATGAGATTCTGGGTGATGAATATTTTTCGGTACAGTACCAGGACAGTAGTTCTTGTTTCATTAACTATGCAAATACATTAAAATATTTGAAATTTAAAAAGTAAATGAAAGTGCAGCACTGATGTACATTGTCATATTGATAGATGGAGAGCATTCTTAGCTAAATGTGAGCATACTTTCCCACTCTGCCGTAGAAACAATCTGAACTGAAAGACAATGATATTATTTGTCTAATACTGCTTCCAAATGCTTTGGTTCCATCCTTAAAATGGCTTGCGCTGTCTTCAGGTGGCTTTGCAGTTGCTGTAGCAAAGCCATGTGTATGCAGAGCCAGTGCCTGGTTAGAGTGCAACAGGTAAGTTCTTACTCCTATGTATGTGTGTGTGCGCTTTGGTTCCTGCTTTGATTTTTTGGAAAAAAAAACACACAGCATCTTTACAGACATAGCAAATAGCTGACTCATCTCACGGCATTGTTCTTTTTACTGGAATAATGTGCTGGAAAAATCAATGTGAGAGCTATTGATCTAGGTGGTAATCTGGAGAGAAGATCAGACAGCAAACCAGATAACAGCTCAGTGCAGAGTTCTTCCTAGTATTATATTACCATGTCTGATGGATGGCAAGGAGGTTTTTTTATTCTGCTTTCAAAAATATTTTTATTTTGCTAACGCTGCTATGCAAGGTTTTATTAGCTCCATAGCCTTACACAGTATGCAATGATGGCAAAAGTCAGAATCTGAAGACTGAACCCAATTCGTGGTATTTTCAGTATGTATATTATGTTTTACCTCATTATGTACATTGTCAACATCTCTTATCTGAGGATAGTAATGGTAACTAATGAAAGACTGAACATAAGGAAGGCTGAAATTTTTTTCCGTGTTTCAGGGCTGCTCTAATGTCATAGACTAAACTCTCGACTCTACTAAGCTTATGCCATCTCAGATCTCAGATAGGTTCATCCAGTGTGCTTAAGAATCTAGTAACTTTTTTCTACTGTTTTCTGAGTTCATCATCTCTGTTTTGCCTTTTTTCATCCCCCTTTTCTTCCTTGTCTCTTGGGTTTTTATATGGGAGCTTCAAATTCTCCCTTACTTCCCTAACTTCCACTGTGCTAATGTGTTAAGCTTGGCACCTCATCGCCACTGGAAAATTAAAAGAGCATGTTTTGAGGCTCAGAGCTACAGTGGCAGCTTTCAGTCTAAAGACATACTTAGTACCAATGCAGTTTTCCTATTACCTAGATATCATGTTTTGTTTCAGCTCATTCTTGAAAGGAAACACAAACTGGAGAGACAGGAAACAAGGTTTACAAAGACAGACAGTTAGAGCTGTTCCCAAATCTGCATTGCTCCCCAGAGGTCACAAGTCTCCACATTATCTACCAGCCCCTCTGCTATTAATACTAACATCTATTTAAATACCATCAAGGTCTTCCCTTGAGAAGCAAGTGCTCATTCCTGAGTGGTTTGAAGACTTCATTAGTAGTGATCCCACTGGTGTGGGTGTGCTAAAGGTCAGGGAAAGAGGAAACCTTCCCTCATCTGAGTTCACCCTGCAGGAGGCTATTGGGGCCAGCATCAAGATCCTACTAATCCCAGTGGGCTTTGAAGAAAGCTCTTGCTGCTTTCTGTGTTCACTGGACCACCTTTGCAATTAGCTGCCATCAGATCATAATCAAAGTCCTTCCCTACAGAAGTGGAATCTTTTACTCTGTTTTCCCTCTGCCCTCTGGGAGAATGCATCCCTTAAATTCCCCTCTTAATGTTTTTTCTCTGCATGAAGGCCAAGATTTTTTCTTCGGCTAGTCCTAGCAACAACACTTGAAATGGGATGAAGTACAAGTTGTTATAATCCTAAGGAACATTTAAAAACATCTTTTGGTTTGATTCATTAAAACATCCAGGACTAAGTGGCTGTTCCCAGGGTGTTCAGACCCAGGGATTTGATACATGCATAATTCTAGTATTTACAATGATGGCTGATATTAAATGAGCTCTTTCTAGTTTCTGCCATGAATTTCAGATGCTGTGCTTGTTTAGTACCCGCTTGTTCTCCAAAGGAAACAAAATGTAGAATAAATTATTAAAATCATGATGTCCCTCCTGAAATATGTAATTTATTAGAAGCAATTAGTACAGTATGTGGCCCTCATCCAAATTTGTAACCCCTTAGGCCAGCTTGACGATGTCTGATGCATCTCATTACTTTGTGACTGAAGGTTAACAAGGAATACAGATAGAGTCTGGAGACATAAAGGACTGTTGTTACTACTGTGGTAGGCACTGAGTTCAAAGCTCACGAGAATTATCACAGAGCAAAATCTGAGGCTAAATTTATTTCAGGTGGCAGAGGAGTGGTGTTTCTGAGTCTTAAGCAGTCACTACAGAAAACTGTACAGTTTTATGGCCTGTCTTCTTATATGGCAAACTCTGACTAGGTTCTGTCATTAACTAAATTCATTAGGGAGAAAACAAGAAATATTATGCTAAAAAAAAAGAAAAATACAATGTCTTTTTGTCATTTGTGCTTCATAAACTGTCTTAAATTTAATTTTTAGAAAATAAATGTTAGCCACAATCTTTTACACATCTTGTACCATTTTCTGAACATCAAGATAGGTTTGTCAAAATTCACAGCCTAAGCTGATGCTGCTCATATGCTTTTCTTATGTGAGTAAGTCACTTTGGCTCAGGTTTTCATGTCTTTGTTTTTCCAGTGAGCTTAGGGGCTGAGATAATTCTGGGCAGTTGGCTGGGACTGGTCCACAACAAAGGCTTCTAGCTGCACCGGAGGAAATTTAGTCTGGACATTAGGAAATACTACTTTTCTGATAGAGTGGTCAGGTGCTGGAATGGGCTGCCCAGGGAGGTGGTGCAGTCACTGAGCCTCGAGGTGTTCAAGGAACATTTGGATTTTGTGTTGAGGGACATGTGGCCCTGAGTACTATTGGTGATAGGTGGGTGGTTGGACTGGATGATCTTGAAAGTCTTTTCCAACCTTGGTGATTCTGTGATTCTGTGAAGGCAAAGGCCAGAACCTGAAGCGATCACCAAGGATGGGGCCAAGTCCTTCGCAGACTCCTTAGCACAAATGCAGTATTCTGGTGCACATTCTTCAATCCCTTCTGTTTAGGTAGATCAGTCTCAATATTTGTTTCTTGGGTAATAGAAGAGGGCAACGATCCGCGTCATTATTTGTGTGTGTTGCTACTGTTTGTCAATGTGTTGTGATGTGATATAGCACTGTCAGTTTTTTTTTGTTTCAGGAGTGGAAGCCCCACAACTGCCAGGGCTTCCTGAAGCACTGGGTAAAGAAAATTCATTCTGCAATCTTGTATAATTACATTTTTTTTCTTTTTCATAGCCAAATCATAAAAGAAAAGTGTAGCTTCGGTTTAAAAAAAAAATTTTTTTTAGCTACTCTTATTCGTATCATAGTCACAAAAGCACCTTGAGGTAAGCATATCATTTAATATAGCATGGCCTTGGACAAACTTCTTTAGCTGATGTATCAGACCTAGTGGTGGTATTTCTGAAATTCCCATGTATGTACCACCGTAAGAAAGAGGCGGGATGCACGTCTTTGCC